TTATGTTTCAGCATATGACAATAGAAAATCAGCCAAGCACAAAAATATCTGCCAGCCATCATTTTTTGGGGGATGGTACTTTGGTTTTGGTTTACTCCACTATTTTATTTATAGATTCTAAAGAAATTGAGCCTTATCTTCAAATGTAATTACCACAGAAGTCGTGGAAAATGAGATTTTCAAAGGAGACCAAGAAAACTGAGGACCCAGTTCTTAGCAATTAGGAAATAATATACCAAGTCCCAGTCCCAGCCTTGAACACACCAGTATCAAGGATCTGTATGGGAGCATTGACATGGGTTTGTAATAAGCTACCCAGCTGATGATGTTTCTGCAACGCTAAGTAATCTTATATAATGAAATATTTCATATCAAGTTCAGTTTGTCATGAGAAAGAACATGGTTTTTACCTTCTGCAGGGGCGCAGTTGTTGGGTTTTTTTGGGTTGTCTTGTTTTTTTTTTTTTCCTGAACAGCATTATGGGCCAAATGCTCAATCCTTTTATGTCAAAGGCAAAGTTTTATTTAAAGGAGACAGGAATGCATGGGTATGTGCTAAATCAGATATTTTCAAATGTGTGCCACTTGAGATTGTGGAAGAAAAAACATGCTCATAATATATTTGTGATTTGTTTGAAGTCAGAGTACATTTCCCTCTGTGGGTCTATTTATAGCTTCAGGATAAGAAATTCTTAGGCTTAGAAGCAGGAGCTGATGAGTGAGACTTTCACATACTCAGAAGAAAAACATGAGTTGTAATTTTCTGTTTCTTCAGACTAAAGAAAATTCATGAGCCTTGTAGCTGGGATATAAAATTAATCCTGCTTGCTTAGGAGATCCTTAATCACAATGCAGTTTTCCACTTGAACCACGGTATCTGCACTACTCAAAGAAGTCAGTTCCTGCAGAATATTTTTTCATCTCTCTTTGTCTCTTGTTAAAATAGACCTTTGATTTTGCCAGTGACCAATATTAGATTGTAATGTAGTATTTTTATATTTTTAGTTTTTATTCTGTTGCTATATTAAGACCAGGAACACAAAAGGATTCATGTGAATCCTGAAGTGTTCCCCTTTTTATTTTTTTTTTTTTTGCTGCTGGAGTCCAGTTGCATACAATATCAGCAATCAACTTGTATACCAAAGCCAAGCAGTGACAGTAGCAATAATGAATATTTGCTGTGGGCCACTGGTATGAAAATAGCACAGTGCTGCAAGCCTGCGTCACCAGAAACAAATCTTCCTTTGACTGTGGCTGAATTTCCAGCTCAATTTCAGAACATTTATAATTGAAATAGCTCTTAAAGCACTGTCATAATGTAGTGTTAAGAAATGCTGATTCAGTCTACAAGGCATGAACTCAAATGCCTTCCTACATCTTTTTGGTGTTGTTTTTCCTTGTTTTTTTTTGTTAATCCTTTTTACTTTTAATGCTGTACCCTGTATTTAGGGCACTGAACTGTGGACAGGCAGCAGCACTATAATATATTCAAAGGGACCCATGCTGGTTAAGTTAGAAGTTCTTGTGAGAAAAGGAATTGAATTGCCTCTTTGTAAGCTTACTTGACAGCTTTCAGAATGTTTTATCCTTAATCTCTGCTGAAAATTCTAAACTTTGTATGAGGATGAGCAGCTTTGCATCTTTAAATGTGTCATGGCTTTTACATGGTGAACTTCAATGGCTTTCTGTTTTTTAATGTCATTAATACATTTGTATTAGTAGAATATAAAGTGTATTCATATAGGGCAACTCTTAAAAATGCAGAGTATATGCACTGAACTTTGACTATTTTGTGAGATGAAGAATATGCTGATGACATTTACCATGTTTAACTTCTATATACTATGCTGCTTTCATTCATGCATCTCAAAATATCCTCAAAATATCCAAAACAGCTAGCATAATTGATTGTATTTTCTTTTTGCTTTAAAATAATTACATGGTGAAATATTAGATCAGCACAGATACAGAAGGTCAGATACTTGAAGCAGAATAAAATGTGCTGTTATTTAAGCTTTTTTTTTTTTTTCATTCATTGCCTCAGGTTTTCCTATGGAAAGTAAAGAAATTATGATCTATATTTTGCTTAGGGCTAAATACTGACCCTTACACTGCAAAACTAGCAATGGTGATTGATGCACATATCTAATTTCCTGCAAGATTAGAATGAACACTAACTTTGTCATCAATCCTGAAAGAATGTTAATATCCTTTTCCCCTCCCTGAGCCACCTGCCCTTTGCCTTCCATGTCACCAAGAGAGTACATTGGCTAAGCCTACCACTGTACAGTAGTATCAGGATACAGAAAATGATGTTTTAAAAGTAGTATTAATGCTCATAAAGCAACAGGGTTTGGGCTGGGATTGGGATTTTGAGGAAAATGATTTTACAGCAGCAATTTTTAACTTAAGAGGAGCAAGCATTCAATAGATTCTCTGGAAGGGGAAAGGAATGACTAGTTAATGCTATGATTTTGTAGACAGATCTTCAAAGGCTTTATTTCATCAGTTTCTCAACAAAAGGCGTAATATTTCAAAATATTATTTTCTTTTGAAACATTATTTAAAAAAAAAGAATAATCACAAATAAAAAGAGACTATTCAGCAAGGTAACACCATTCCTTCTGCACTGATATTTGACCTCCCCAGTACCTTCAGGTTATGACCTTCAGGCTCTCTTTCAGGTAAAAGAAAACCAAACTGTGATTTGACCTTGAGTGGAACTTTATTTTTTGCTACATGCTTTAATGCCTGTCAATACCTGGAATATTCACATGAAAAACTCTGTTTCTTGGGTTTATGAATGATAATTTTTAAAATCCCTGTGGGAGAGTAAGTAGAAACATTAAAAAATACACAATGTACAAACATAATAGAGCTTAAAGGGTTGTATTCTCACTGACTGAAAGGGAATCGTATTTGTGTAGATATTTGTTCAGCCAGCTTCAATCTCCCGGTAGGAAATACTTCTGGGTCTGTGTAGGTAGGCTATTCCCAGGCTTCATAAACTTTAATATTAGAAAGAATTTCCTCACATCTGATCTAAGTCTCTCTTGGTGTAATCCAATAGTCCTTGTTCTACTAGGAGGGATGAGGGTATATTCTCTTACTTTTAGCTACCTTCTACAGATATGAAAAGCATTGTCAATGCTTCCTTTTTTTCTTGCATATTCACAGTTCATGTTTTCTAAACCGCTAATTTATTTTGGCTCCCTCCATCACAAATCCTCTCTTGTTGCTTTGCATTTGCTTTGCTTCTGGATTAACAGCAAAGTAATTCGAGGTTTTTTTTGACATTACTGTCCCCAGGCTGGACACAGGGCCTCCAGATCAGAGGAGGAAAAAAATACCTCCTAAATCTTTTGCTTTGCACTTTCAGTGTGGCGGGGACCTGCTTTTATAGCACAGTGATAGAAGAGATCTGTGTTCATCATGTCTGCTACTGAAATATTTTTCTGAAAACCAAGGAAATCAACAAAGAAAGCAATCAAAATGAAATAAACAGTAAAACTTCCCCAAATGCAGTACTGGGGTTGTTGTTCATCATTTTGTGTTAATTGATCAGGTTAAATCTACTGAGTCTGGATTCCTGCAACTCTCTTTACTGAAAAGCATCTAATTTTCTAAACTGTTTCTTCAATGCATTAAAATTGTTTTGAATCAGTTTTCTCAGTGTGGAAGCAATTTCTTGCTTCCAGTTTGATATTGCCTGCTAAGCTGTTAGGAATGTTCTCCACTAGCGAAGTTTTGGAACACTACTAGTCTGCAGCACACCACTGTGGTATCAGTTTGTTGTGTCCCTTCTGCATTGGAGCATGTACTTAGCTCTCTAAGTGAAAGAATTGCTATTTTGTCTATTCCAATGGGAGGCAATAAATAAAGTACAATACAGGTAAAGCATCACTAGCAGCAAGCGACGTATGAAACCAAAATGAGCTATGCTGGTAAGTTCTCAAATCCAGGCATATCTCAGTAAAGTATCTAAGATTTTTTTTTTTTTTTTTTAAAGCTACTACTCAGTCAGCCTAATATGATAAAATACAACACTGCAAAGGCAGAGATATCCTGTGTTTTGTCTCCTTCTCATGTCCTCTACCTACCATCTTCTTCACTGCCTTCACTGCTGAATTTTGCTGTCCTCCACCCTGCTAAGTACTTAACAACCACATGATACTGCCATATCCAAACACCATGTATCAAGTATTCAAACTCAAATATTGTTGTGTATTTCCTCTCTCCTTGATTTGAGAACTACAGGAAAAGCACAAGTTTTTAGGTGCAAGAACTGGGTTTCCAGATTTAGGTATATATCTTGCTTGTAGTCTTTCCAAAAATACTACTGATAGGCAGAGTGAAAATCTTATTAGTGTTTGTTTAGGTCTCAGATATGTAATGTTGTATATTTAATTGCTGTTATTAGTATGTATCATTATTATGTAATAATGGATAACAATGTGTACTGTGTATTAATAATTACCTTAATTCTTTTAGTGTTGGTGTTGGGAATAAATCAAGTGAAGTATAATTTTTTTTTTTTTTTACCAGATATAAAGGACAATTTTTTAATTTTAGTTTTTTTACTACAAGATGCTAAAAGCTTGGCTACCCAATCATCATTGTCTGTTTATGCATCTGAAGTTGTGTGTATAAATTTTAACTGCCTGTTGTGCTGTTCATTTGCACGACTTCTTTTATTGCATTTTTCTTCTGTTGTACAGTATAGTCTTAATGACCTTTTTGTTCATTTTATGAGATCTGTGTGAGCAGACTGCAGGAGACAACACATGGTTTTTCAATACATGGGAGTACTGTATTTTGTAACCACACAAAATACAAAGAAAAAGGTCAGGTTTAGTTCATTACCATTAGTCAAACCACCACCAGAACAATCTGCCTCTCTGTGTCATCACAGATTGGGATGTCAACAAGCAAACACCAAAGGTCACATGATTTTTTGTTAGCCTGTTTTCATTTCTTTACATCTCCTGTCTTTGCCCACAGACACTAACACAGGGACACCAGCAATATCAACGACGACAACCGTGGAAATCCGGAAGAGCAGTGTTATGACAACTGAGATCACCTCTAAAGTGGAGAAAATCCCCACAACAGCCACTAGCAGCAGCACTTGCCCTTCTGTTGAGACTGAGGAAGAAAAAGCAAAAAGACTGCTGTACTGTTCACTATGCAAAGTCGCTGTCAACTCTGCCTCACAGCTGGAGGCGCACAACAGTGGTGAGATGGAGCACTGCTCGCTTGCTTCCTTTTTTTTTTCTCTTCTGTCTCAAGAGCATTGCAATTATCTTCCCCTGAATAGATTAGATCTCTTACAGCAGGGGACAAAGAGGTGGCAGAAAACTGGCAATTACATGGAATTCATTAACTATTAAAGTATAAAAATGACAGGCAAAAGAGGCTTTCAAAAAAGGGAGAGGAATTTATTGCAAGTTGCACATTTTCTTACACTTTAGCTTTTGCAGCTTCAAAACCATATCGAGCTAAATGACAGCTCTACTTCATTACCTTTAGTGTTCAGAGTTTGCATGGTTTTGCTTGTGCCAACTAGCAAACTGAGTATGAATGCCATTAGCTTTGTCTGAAATCTAACAAATTAAGGCTGAAAGAGGGAGCATCAGTCAGTCAGAATTCAATGATGGGAGTTAGAGTTCTTAGCTCCATATTGTCTGTTAATAAATAACTTGTTAAAATTATGTGTATTTTCCCTTTGTTTTCATCAACTGATAGCAGCTGCTGCATGAGAGTTGAAGGGGTAATTGTCTACCTCCATCTTTCTCAGTTTTTAAACTTTTTCTTGTCATTAGAGCTAGTAGCATCAGCAAATTCCAGTAGTAGAGAGCCACCATTCACAGTCACTATTTTAAGCATGTTACTGATTGGCTCCGTGGCAGGTGGGGTTAAAAGATCTAAGGATTTGATATGGTGGCAGTGACCACCTAAAGCCATCTTACAGAAAATTCCTGATTTTGGATGTCAGGGGCTACCTCTTATCAAGGGTAAGTAGGGTTAAGAGATAGAAAGAGAACCTTAAGTTTGAAATGTAGAGACAGTGATAATATACCTACTGCAAAGTGATCAATGGTTTTATGATACAATTAAAAAAGGAATAACTTTGGCATATCTATAGAACTCAGAATAGAAATTATAACTTCTTGGCATTCATGAGAAACAAAATTTCATCAGTTTTGAATGCTGTTTACTATATGCCAGGTCTTCAGCTGGTGAAAGTTCAACTTCAAGCTGTACCCTTTTAAACTATTTAACTTCATTTGAGAGTTAGACTCTAAATATTCTGATCAGGCGGAGAGCCAAAACACTGTTCTGAATATTTAAACACAACCTTCCAAGTTTTTTCTGCCTGAGACGATAAACTGTGTGTGTGCTCACACACATGCATTTTTTTTACAAGTCTCTGTGGATACATACAGCAATTAGCAGTGGAGCAGTGGTTCTGTACTGTTAGTTGGCTCTGTAGTTAGTTCATTATCTTCACAGACTACCTTTGTGGGAGTCAACAGTGTAAGAAATTGTTCAGGCTGAATAAAGGTGAAGCAACACAACACCAGTGTTCTCTATCCAACCTTTATTTACAAAGAAAAAAAAAAGAAAAAGCAAGTGCATTTTTCTCTCATAAATGTTTCTCACATGTTTTGGTTTCTGTCCAGGATTTTAATGATCTATAGGTTGCTTCCAGGAAGCTCTGCCCCTTTCTGGTTTGGAGAGTAATTAGTTAATTACAGATTTAATTGTAAGCTACTTAGATATACTGTTTATCAATCTGTTCAGGAAGACTACAAATCAAAGCAAACTACATCTTTAATAGCTAAATTACTTTTCTTTTGCAACTACAATTCAGGTCTTATTAGCAGCAGGAGTTAATGAGAAAAGTCACACGCACTTAACTTCGCGTCAGGGTATCTGATCGTGCCGCTACTTTCCGGTGTGGCTGCTTTGTTCTAGTGCATTACCTATAGGTATGTAATTTAATAACTAAGTACCAGGTGTGAAATACTGTTACATTAATATGACTCCGATACAGACCAACACAGTTCCATTCCAAGGTTAGCACATGGCACCAGGCTGAGTCTCTTATGATTATACTTTTAAAAGAAAATAGAACAATGAATGCAACCCAATTGCCAAAGTTTTTTCTGTTTCCCATTTCTATTGTCTCCAGGGACTAAGCACAAAACTATGCTGGAAGCTCGGAATGGAAGTGGAACCATAAAAGCCTTTCCCCGGGCAGGCGTAAAAGGCAAAGGACCTGTGAATAAAGGAAACACAGGCCTTCAGAACAAAACATTTCACTGTGAAATATGTGATGTGCACGTCAACTCTGAGACACAACTGAAACAGGTACTCAGCCAACTTGTAGAGTGAGAATCTTTGTCTGTTCTTTGCTTTCATGGTGGTTCAGTACCAACACAGTCAGTGCATGTCAATATAAGAGTGTGTGTCCAAATGGAACTCAGTTTTGTCCGTCGTACTTGGCTGCCATGCTGCATGTTTTGTTTTGATTACGATCTCCCCTTGCATGGAATATATCTTCTCAAAAGCTCTCAGTTATACACATTTGGTAAAGAGTTACAGAAGGTGTAAGCTGCAGTAGGTTAACAACTGCCTTTAGACTGTTAGAATTGTCCTGAGCTAATAAACTCTGCCATTTCATGTACTGCATGATATTTACCTTGACAAAGATGTGAAGGTGGGTGCAGACAGCACTTTCACAGAACACTGAGTAACCGGCCTAGAAATGTGGTATGGTAATATTTTTGTGAATGTTTCTCTCTAACTGAGAAGCATGACCTCTAAATTGCCATTACACTAAGTTATGTTCAGTCATTCTTCAGATGATCAAAGCTTTCTGAGAAGCACTTAGTTTAATTCCATATGCCTATTGGAATTAAATACTTGTTAAGGAACTTTACAAGAATGAAGATAAATTCAGTAATGGACAACAGCAATACCCATTCTTCTGGTTTCAGGGGGAAAAAAAAGTCCAGTTCTAAGTCTTTTTATTGTGATAATTCTCTTGAAAATGAAAATCCAAGTAAAAATACAATTCTGAAAAAGGTCCCTTACTTCTAATACGGCAAAATAATCTCTGTAGAAAGATACTTTAAAAATCTCATAGATCTTATGAGGATTTCACACATTTTTCTTCACTGTCACTTAGTTTGATATATAACCATCTCAGAAGGATCTCCAGGCACCTTAGGGATTTAAACAATTTTATGACCTTATATTCTTCCCCAAAGAGGGGACACTTTACTATCTAATATTCTTTAAAAACTTTCTATCAGCAGTGGATTGAATTTGATGGGTGCTTTATAGAGTTAGGGAGGAGTTTTTCAAAGACTTCTGTCTTTAACCTGACTCAAGTCCTGCTGAAGTTAGAAAAGGTGGGAAAATATTTAACTGTAGTGGAAGCAGAGGTGGACTTAGGACTGATGAAAATTACAGTCCCAATATGTGGTGCCAAAGGATGCTTCAAGTTTCAAGAGAGCCAATTCGTTTTCATTACTGAATTAGACAAAGTAATGCTCTTTTACAATAAAAGCCTTTAGTATTAGAGCACTAATTTTGTGTAAAGCAGAACCTGAAGTGATCTGTTGTGGAACTATCACCCTTTGTTTTCTTTCTCCCTCTCCCTAAAATATATTTTAACAGCACATAAGCAGTAGAAGGCACAAAGACAGAGCTGCTGGGAAGCCACCTAAACCTAAATACAGCCCTTACAACAAACTCCAGAAGGGAACACATCCTCTAGGGGTAAGCCAATCACCCTTTTTATTTGACTTTTATTTTAATCCTGATGAATAGGTTTTTAGAAAACATAATTAGAAAAATGTTTAGAAGTAGAGTAATAGTGTAAGCCATTGGAGTATGAAGTACATGAAGGAGCCAGTGGAAGCCCAAAAGGGTTTTTTTTAATTTACTTTAAGGGATGTTTATTACAGTGTGTGGACCCTTGCTTTTGTAGCTATTCTGAATAATCTAAGAAACGAAGCTTGTTGCAAAGGTCATTAGAGAGCAAGAGACGGAAAAAACCTCCAGATGTCAAACAGGATTTTTCCAGTTTTCACCAAGGACATTAGTGATGAAATAACTAAATAAAACCCTACAAAATAGAAACCATTCATTCCATCCTTATTTAGAGAATTGTTGAGATAGCAAGTGAAACGATTAAAAAACCCTTTCTCTTCTTTCATTCAACTGTTTCAGGATGGTTCTGATCATATTTTCAACTGCCAGGATAAACTATCTGAAACACAATTCTTGCTAGCTGTAAAAGCTGAGGAAAAGGTTTACTTTTTAATAAAAAACCCTCTAGCTAAGAACCAGCTTATATTGTGGGTGGGTTAGAAAAACATCTGACGTTTATCTTCTCCATCAGTTAAACAGCATGAATGCTGTATCTGCTGCTTTGTAAGGGTTTATAAATGGTTCTGGCAGAGGGAGGATGTTGATTTATTGTCCTCATAGAGATTAGCTCCTTATGCCTTGACCATCTCTGATGAAGGTACAATATGGAACTTTTTTTTTTCTTTCTCTTTGTAAAGAGAAAAACCTATTTCTCTTTACATTGAGTTAAAGCTCTTGGCAGTAGAAACTGTCCTTTTTGGGGCAGCCATCATGGGTGGCATATTCATGCAGGATTCAGTGGTAGAATAAAGCAGGGCACCTTTCCAGTAGATCTACTGATAGGGAAATAGCCCCATAGAGTTTCTCAGTAATCCACAAGAAAGATCAAGGTCTCCAATACAAACTATACGGAAAGGAATAGAAAATATGTAGTGGGGTAAGCAGGATATGGAATCAGGAAAGCCTTACTGACAGGATTATTATTCCTTTAGGAAATTTATTATTTTTCAGAGGATAAAAACAACTATTACATTGCTGCTGTTGTTGTTGTTTTGCACAGTTCTGTACCACTTTACGTAATGATGATTTCTGAGAACTCCAGGCAAGGTTCGAGACAAATAACAGCAGTGTGTCCTTTTCCTACTCCCTCAATCCCAATTGATCACAATGTACAGGTCAGGCTAGAGGGCATCAAAGAGGCAAAAGGGATTTAAGAAGGAGAGAACGAGCTATGAATAAATGAAGAGATATGTGTAGTAGAATTGTGGCTTCAATAAGAAAGGATAGACCAGTTCTCCATTTAGTCTTTTTGGTTTTCAGTATAAGAACTGCAGGAATTGTTGCCACTTGAAGTGCAGAATGGCACAGCAACAAGACAGAGATTTTCCAATTCCACCTTCAATTCAATACTTTCTTTACTTTTTCTTTACTCCTTCTCCCTAACTGAAAACAGGATGCTCCCCATTAATATTTCAAGTTATTTGTCCATTAGTTTATTTATTTGGAAATGAAAAAAAATGTCTACTTTACTCCTAATGTTGACCTGTGATTTAATTAGAGGTTAGAAATGAAGGTGCAAGGTACTGTATATGTTAAATATTACTAGTTTTGCAGCTACCTTGAAATCAGAATCATCTTGAAAAGTTAACTGAAAAGCTATGTAACTACATTAGAAGTAACTGATACCTCCAAGAATGGCAAGAAAGCCTTAGCCTTTTAATAGAAACAGCCACATGAGACCTTTGTTCTTCATGACACAAAATCTATGGGCATTTCTCTACAGAAATTAAAAAAAGAACATGCTACATGTTCATGGATTTTCTTGACCGAAAGCCTGCTTTACCATGTTTTCAATATAATTTGTACTTCTTTCTCTGTTCTAGATTTACGTGCTTCAGAGATAGAAGTTTTATAAATTCCCACAGTAATATTTCAGAGTTTAAGAAGTCTTGTAGTGTTGGGACTTACTTGGTATTTCTTCAAGCTACAACTGTCCAGCATGAATAAAATACTGCACTGGGGAGAAAAAGGTTATCAAGCATTTGATAGTCCAAACCTTCTGCAATAAAATAACTGTTACAAAAAACATCCTTTACTGGGAACTGTAGACCAAAGCATACTTTGTACTCAGGGTTACTTTTTTTTAATTTTCCTCAGGGTTGTTTTGAGTTGTTTTTTGCTGTTTTGTTTTTGTTTTTTTTTTTTCATTTGAGTGGGGGTTTCTTGTTTTGTGTTTTGGGGTTTTTCTGTTATAAATAAGGCTGTAGGAGGTACTTATTAAAAAGTGTAAGGAGGGAGGAAAAAGTCATATGTTCAGCAAAGGAAGAAGACAGCTTGGATAAGTGAGCGCAACACTGATCAAGGAAAAGATCAGATCATGGCTTTTCATAGGCATCATATGGAATTTTTTATCTAGCATCTATCATATACTTTGTTAAGAGAATTAAAGAATTTGGTTTAATCTGAGTATTTCTCCCAGAGGTCTAAAGGACCTGGAAGCCAGCAGTGCTGCCAATAGGTATTGGGAAAAATAAAAGTCCTCTATCCATCTGGCCAGTAAAGGACCAGCAGACCTTTTGGGATATGGTGATAGTGTAATGATGAAACTCAGTCGTGGTTCATGCCAGAGTACTCCTGTCCTTATTTTCTGATGATTCACTCATTAGGGTTCTGTTGAGTTGAAAATGTTGGAGTGATATTGTACAAGTTAATTACTTGAAAATCCCTTTCAAGTCAAGAATGAGAAATTGTGTTTCCTTGTAAGTAAAAAGTATCCATACTTACACTGAGCTGTGCCACAGCATGGTACCTATACTCTGTATCTTCAATACCATGTATTCAGGTTTATGCCCTTTGCAGGAGGCCTCAGGTCATGCTAGGACACAGACTCACCAAAAGCCCATCAGGGACAATGGGAACTTTGTCAGTAAATGCAGTTTCTAATCTTATCTCAGAATTATAAAAACAGGACTGCAAAAGTATTCATTAGAAACTTGAAATTCCACTGGAAACTACAGTAATCTATAGAGAGTTCTCTGATGGTCATTTGTATGCATCCAAAATGTAAATTTTCTTAAATATGACTGGACCTCTTGTGAGTACTTTCAGTCTTAGAGAAACTTCAGGGTTGGGGTTTTTTTTCCTGTTTTAGGAAACCCTAATGAAGGGTTTTCTGATTTATATTTGGTAGTCCACAAGATTTAAAAACATGTCATGATTTAAAATGTTTTTTTAAGAAGACACCTCAGTGACAGGAACAGAAACATCATAGTCTGGCAGAATGCTACTTTAAAATATTTGCAAGGTTTTCACAATCCTTGTAAGAATGAGCACTGTCTTAGTGGAAAACAGTTGAAGACATTGAAGACAAAGAAAAATTATATGGGGCAGCACCCATTTAAACACATGAAACAAGAGATTTTCATAACTCATGAAAGATAAGATTGCTTTATTTGCTTGTTATTAGAAGCACGAGTAAATGAAGAGGAGTTATATGGAGATCTTAATTTTAAGAAGAACTTGCATCCTAATGATTAAAGCAGAAGTATCTTTAAAGACCAGGGATTAGGATATGTTTTCATTCTGCTCTGGTCTCTACATTAAGCTGTTCAGATGGAGATCTATTAATTGATATTTAATTTTTCCTTGTTTAATTGTTGCGGGGTACATGCAGCTTTACTTTGGTGCAGATTCCCCAGTCCCATTTTAGATTTGCTTTGATTTCTAATCTCCTATTAAATTATGAGTGTTGGCAATAAGATGTGAACATTGGAACTCTGTCCCCAACCAAATCCTTTTGCCTTGTCCAGTGGGTGAGGTTGTATCGCCTGTTACAAGTCTGTAGCTCACAGAGTCAGTAGCCACCGCAAAGCTTCTCTTGCTTGATTTTGCACATATAATCTTAAATTAAGGCCCCTCTTGTGTAGCTAATATGACCAAATTACGTGTCTCTGTTTGTTTTCTCTTCTTCCCCACAGGTAAAGTTAGTATTTTCAAAGGAACCTTCAAAGCCGATGGCCCCACGAATCTTACCAAATCCGCTGGCAGCTGCAGCAGCAGCTGCTGCTGTGGCTGTGAATTCCCCCTTCAGTCTTCGCACAGCCCCAGCAGCCACCCTTTTCCAGACTTCAGCACTTCCTCCAGCACTCCTACGACCAGCTCCCGGGCCTATACGGACCACCCACACTCCTGTGCTGTTTGCTCCTTACTGAACTCCAAACGGGAATTAATTGTACTGCAATAATTTTTCAAATCAAAGCAAACAAAAAAAAATGAAAATCAAGAACATTGAACTATGCAGTGTTTATTTATAGTTTAAAGTATATATGAAGAGCCAGAACTTTTGATAGAGAACTGAACAAATTCTGAAAGGGGGAATGGGCAGTATTTTCTCCAGATGAGAACATTTCTCTTGAGCATTGATCGTTTTAGAACTGATCTCCAGCATTGACTTGTAGTGACATATAAAGCCTTTTGACTGTGCATTTTGGCACATATTTCCCTGCAATGTCTTTCCTGCTTTATGAAACAACTTACAAATTTGTCTAAAGGGCATTAACTGGTTCCAATGTATATAAAATACTTTATTCTGTAGATTAAAGAAGAAGGAAAAAAAAAAGAAACACTGTGAATAGCAGTACCCTTACCAATCCTCCTGCCAAATCAGCAGTTACTGGGTATTTATCTGAACAAAAGTAGATACAATAGATGTCTTGTAAAACAGTAGTATTGTGTCTCTATCTATGCCACTAGGTTTCTAACTGAATTGCAAAAGATAAAATGAACAAAATTATGTCACTTTGGTAAGTAGTCCAAAATTATTACAATAACATGGAACTGTTTCTGGTAAGCAAAGTTTTCCTCACTCACAGATGAATGAAAATAATCCAGGTTAAGGCAAAGAAAGTGATTAGGAAGATCTAGTGGGGGAAAAATAATTCAGATACTATACACAGAATGGGTCAAATGTTTCTTTAACTGAGAATGTATGTGTACACTGTGTGTTATTCAAAAAGTGTAATACATACAGGATAGATCAATATTTAAGACATGACAGTGAAGAACAAAAAATATGCTCTTGTCATGAAACAGGCCTGACACTTCAGTGTTGAGCAGAGGGAATACACAAATCGGTTGCGCAGAATCAAAATTGACAAATGAAGACCAGGAGAAAAGTCCTGGTCTCATTTAAGTCAGTTTAAAGTTCCTTCTGACTGCAGTGTAGCCAGAATTTCATCCCAAGTACAGCACATATTCATTTTATATCACACCAGTGGGAGTGTCTGTAGATACAGGTAATATTTTTTGCAATAGGCTTAGTCTTAGCAACAGACTTATTCTCTTGTTTTATTTTCTACTGATGTGGTATAAAATGTCTTAATATACGTATAAAATGTAAACAGTGACACGTGAGATACATATTACGAGATAACTGCACATCATGGGTTTGGAACAAATACAACTTTTAGGATCTCAAGGGACCCTTGAATTCTGTAGCTGACCATTATGTACGGACAGCTTAAAGCCTTATATATTTACTGTGAGGCTTAAAGGGGTTGACTGTGTCCCTTTAAAGTAAGATTTATCAGGGGTATATATAGATATATTGTATATATGTTAGAGTAAGAAAAATAACTTATAAACAGAAAATCTACTATATAAAATAATTATATAACCATTGATTTCACATGTGGGTCATTAAGTGGTAAGTAACAAACAACAGAGAAAAAAATAGACTTCTTGAATCTGATCCTTGCTGCCTGCTTTTTCCCATAGGGAGCTGAAAAGTATCTATTAATATTATGGAGTGTGCTGCTGAGTCACATGCAACCACTCTGATGTGTAGCTAAGTGAAATGCCTACCGTACATTTAGGCAGAATAAAATTTAAAAGCATAATTTAAGTTTAGGTGGGGAAATTATTTGGAAGATTTTATTAAAAGGCAGTAATGCAAAATATTGACCATGTGGTTGCTATATAATGCTGCCTGTGGTTAATGCAGACAGGTGGGAGATACAGAGGATGGGAATATACAGCACTTTTGACTTGCAGTTCATCAGTGAGCCTTCCATATGCATTCGTATTTGCCATTTTTTAAACCTCTCCGCATTTAGATTTTATAAAAGATATATAAAGAGAGAGAAAGAAGAGGTTCCATGGATATCTGTGTCCAAAGAATTCCAAAGAGATGCATTTATTTATCTAGAAATATTAAAATAAGTTCTATATTATGTATTTGTATTTCATCCAGTTTATTTGCAAATGTTTGTGCCTTGAAATGAGATGAGCTTTTGTTTATATTTAATTCACACCTATGTAGCCATGAAAAAGACATGATGGTGATTCCAGGGTTAATTACCAGCTGGATTGCTTTGGCCTAATTTTCAAAACAACAGTATGAGTAAGTTCCTGAAGCCAAGTTTAGACATCTAAATAACTAGGGGCTGACATTTAAAAGGGCTCTCTACTCTACAGCTCCCAGTAAAGAGGCAGTAAATAAGCCAGCCTTCAAAACCTGCTCCTCACAATCAATTTAGAAAATGTTTCATTTTATTTGGGTACATGAGATAGTAAGATTCAGTGGACTTGGTCTTTTAAGCCTGCTTTCAACCTTCCATCTGTTCGCAGAAGCTGTAGTGCCATTGCCAGCTGTGTTCAGATTCCTCCTTGAAAAGGGCAGCAGCTTTCAAGCTGTGCTCCATGAACCACCACTTGTTTCCAGAGCCTTTTGTAAGAGCCTGTATAAGATCTTGATAAAGGAGCAGAGGAGTACTCACATTTTGGGAATGTAGAAGATCCGTGCAGGCTATCTTTTCCCCATGAGGAAGCAGGCAGATGGGAAAATGGGAGATAGACAAATATGCTGAAGGCTCTTATGCACAGCCTTCTGGTGCACGGACACCTGCTGTACGTCCTGCCATGTTGTTGTGATGCCATCAAAATCAACAGGCTGATCCTTGCCAGAACGTGGCCTGTGGCATGTATGGAGGCACAGTACTAAGGGCAGAGTTCATACAAATTTTGCTAGATATAAAAGAGTGTCATTCCAACTACTTACATCAGCTAATTTGCAATGGCACCTTCAGTTTTCTTGGACCTCTTTTGTCACAGTGCTCTATGGAACAAGTTTTGTTCACACAAGTCTCTTTTAAAGTTCAGCTGTAAACAACAAACTCAGTTCTTTTTGTCTCTTACTCACTACCTAATAAAGGATAAAGCCTAAATGTTAGAATGTATAGTGGATTTTCTGTGCCTTGCTGCTCCACCCCCTCTTGGTCAATAACAAGACTATGTACCCAGGACATCAGCACAACAGTTTCATTTTATATATATATATATATATATATATATATATATATATATATATATATATATACATCTATATCTGTCAAGGAAAATACTGGCACAGCAATCTGATGGTGCAAAGAGAACTTCTGGTTAAGGGTATGTCCCCAGCAGATGACAGAGGAAGTAGCAGACAGAAGACACTTTACACCTACTAGTCAATACATCCAGTGGGGAGAGAACTATTAAAGAAAAAAATGCCATCATATTTCATATTACCATAACACTCCAGGGCCAAGAGGAAGCCTAAAGCACAAGGAAGCAGATAATTTCATTGAAGTCACAGTCACTCACTGGAATGAGAGTGTGAAATCAGCCTGCAGGGAAGTGGCTGGGTGATGAACTCAGAAAAACAATCAGGTTCAGACATGTTTTCTTAAGTTCTATTCAAAGTGTTAAAGAATAACTATTCTGTTCTGACCCGAAGAGATGGTATTTTTGTGGGAGGTGTATATATATATATATATATATATATATATATTTATGCTATCTGCATTTTTCCAAATATCTATGGCTTCAAACCTTTGTTCTGAAGGATCGTCATTGCTCTGAACCATGAAATTAGTTACCTTCTTGAAAACTGCTGTAAAAGCTGATGTGAGAGGTCAGTAAGTAAACGGTATAAATACGATGATCTAAAATGAAAAAAAAAGGACTGACCATGTCAAGAAATATTGTATTTGAAGAGTATTCATCTTTATTTTAAGATAAATTATATAAAATTATATAAAATTAAGAACAGCTAAATAAAGTTAATATAACTAGAATTACATCTGTCATTTTAGTACTGAAATATTACAATTGGCTCTACATTTTAAAAGTTTAAAAGACTTCTAGATGCCGAATCAATGCAAGGATGTTGTTGGTAAATTTAATGTCTCACTTCATTATCTTCCATTTTCACAAGGAATACCATAACTGAAAGGACCTGCCTTTAGTCACTTCTCTTTTAATTGCCAAACATACAGTAGCGTATGGCCCCATACTCCCTGAAAAGTGAAATTGTGCTGCTTAGGAGCCCCTGTTTCTGTTTTTTACTCTCAGTAAACAAATAGTTTTTGGAGTCTTTTCAAAGCATCCTGGGAAATTTCTAGCTTGATATCTTTTTTCAGCAAAAATAAACGACATTTTATGAACATTAGACCAACAGTGAGGAGCAAGATCTAAAGAGATTTTCAAAACTGTAACATTATTTTGGGTAGATATGAAGCACAGACAAATTATTTGGTTGCACAAATCTTTTTGAAAACACATGAAGTCAGAACCTAGACAGCTTTATAAGTGTCCTGGTTTTGGGGTTAACTCTCAGCCATAAGAAATGTCTTCTTTCTACTAACAGGTGTCTGAATTTTCATTTCTAAAGCTGACTTCAGCACAGTTCAGCCTCAAGACTCTAAACTCCCTAAGCTCCCAAGAAAATAAGAGTGGGCTTGTTTATCAAGATGCATATGAAAGTGTGAGCCTATAGTATGTAAAATGTTAAGTATTTTTTTTACATCACATCTTCTCCTGTTCTTATTGTTTATCTCTAAGTGCCATTCCTTCAGTGCCAATGAATCATACAGAAGCTGCTGTGCTGGAATTCAGTACGTGACTAAAACAGTAATACTAATAAATCCTATCTTAAGCTAGCTGAAATCTCAAACACAGTGAAGGGTTTAGCCAAGGATGAGAGCTTTATGGCCTCTCACTTCTACAGGTTTATTAAAATTCAGGACCATTTAGTAAATGTAACTATCTGGAAGATGATTATTACATAGCCTGACCTGAAATGTCAGTGGCTGAAAGAGTCTGTACTCCACACTGAAATTTACATTGGTATGAAAACCATAATGCTCTGAACCTTGGGACTCCTGATAGCAGTTGCAAAAATCTTTGATTTCAATAGAGGCAATTTTTTGCTCTTAGTGGATGAGGCTTTTTGCAGTCATGCTGTGTACTGCAATTAGATGTCATTCAACTCTGATTCAGTATTGATACTTTGTTAAAGAAACTTGGCTGAGCATGAAACGTGATTAGTGGCTGCCTGGTTTGTGTGGTCAGCTTCATGCTGGGACGATGCTTGGGTGGTGAATTAAGAAGAATTGAAAGAGTCAATGTAAAGAAATTGGTGGACTAATTTGACCTTTTTCCTTGTGCAATGTTCTTAAATGGAACTTCTGAGGTATGAAAAAGCTGGGACATTGAAGAGATCCTGGATAAAAAAGGTAGGGACCTTGAAGATTGTGAAATCTTAACTTTAAAGTTTGATGAAAAAGAATTCAGAAGACATTCTTTGGATTAGATACCACAGTGATTTTGTAGCAAAAAGGCACACTGTCAATACACTGACATTTTTCCTGTTCACAGCAGAAATCAAGGATTTGACACCCATGATTAGAAACAAGCATAGTTAATAATATTCATTGCATAGGTATTGGACACTCAATTGAAGGACACAATAATTTTCCTTGG